TTTTTCTTGGGTGAAGTTGGTGGTTTTATGATTCCCTTTTATCTATGTATTTATCATTTACACATATTTAAAAAATTTAGTGATCACCTTGGAGTCACATTTTTAAGTTAATCTACAGCTATTTTCAAACATACCTCTTTTACATGTAAGATAAGAATCTTACAACACATTGCCAATTCTTCCCTTCCACTCTTATATTGTTGTTACATATTTTACTTTTTCATGTAAACATACATTGTCACTGTTTTTGCCCATTTATCATTTAGAGCAATTTAAAAAATGAGACAAGAATGTTTTGCCTTCAATTAGTCTATTTCAACCATGTTTATCCCCCCCCATGTTCATTACTTTGTGTGGAACCAGGTTTCTGATGGTTGCCGTATTCCTTGTGCTTGAAGAACTTTTTTTACTTCTTGTAGAGGAGGTTGCTGGCAGTGAAGTTACTTCAGTTTTGGGTGCCTCCTTTATATCTTTGTCAGGAGCCTGCTTCTGAGACGACAGAGTTTCCCTTTGGGATATTAAAGATGTTACTTACTGTCTTCTTGTTCTTGGGCATCTGGTGAGAGACCCACTGCATTCTCAGCATTGCCATCCCTGCTGGTTAGGTCTCTTTCTGAGCGGTTTGAGTATGACACATTTGGATGTGGAGCTTTGGTTCCTTTGTGTGTTTGCCCTGCTCGATGTTCTGATCTCCCTGGATCTATGTTTTTGTGCCTGTAACAAATTTTGGAAAAACTTGCTCTTCAGACATTTCTGTGCCATGTCTCTTCTCCTTCGATTATACACACATAAGACCATTAGACATTGCCCCTCAGTTCAGGGGTGCTCTATTGGGCTTCCTGCTCGCTTTGTCCTCTATATTTCAGTTTGGTTGAGTTCTGCCCTCGAACACTTGTTTCTGGAAGATTTGGCCTAGTGTGTGTGTTGGGGTGGCTGGGATGCTAGAAACTTTGAGATACAAGGTCACTGGGTCATGGGATCTGCACCTCATGATTGGCTTAAGTGATGCCTCCCCAGAACGGAGGGACCATCATCCTGTGACAACTGGATGTTTTGATGAGAGTGGGTGGTTATAAAGTGCGGGCACCCCACACTCTGGACCCTTTTGCACATGGCCGTTGCCCTTCCCCCTTCACCATGCTGAGACACAGCCAGGGGCCCTTGCTGGATATGGCTCCAGGCTGTTTGAACACTCCAACCACCAGAATCATGAGTCAAATCAACCTCTTGGCTTTATAAAGTACCCACATCAGGCATTTTATTATAGCACCAAATGGACTAAGCCACTGTGGTAAGTTCTTTTAGTGACTGAGTGAGCACAGCTTTTTACTACATTATTAATATGGGTATTTGTATTATCTCAGTCAGGAATTGGGTTTGGTGTGATATTTGTTGTTGCGGGAGTAATCCTCTGTGCACAAGAGGCTCCAGGCTCTACTTGTGATACCCTGAGCTAGGAATGAGGGCTGCTTTGCTACAGTTTATTCTGTGTCTGCTCTTTCCCTGGGCACTCCATTCCTGAGAGAATCAGCCTTGTGTACCAATTCCCAACTGTACTCCACTTGTTTTCACTTGACATTTGTTAGCCTGGTTGGTGACAGGAGACAGAACCAGGAACTCTCCCTGCTTCTGGTCAGGCCTCTTTCTCAGGCAGGCAGAGAAGTGCGGACTTTCCAGTGCTCCCACCTAAGGAGCTCCAACTTTAGGAGACTTTAGGAGCTGGGTCTAGCATGTATTCCTGCTCCTTTGCTTTTTTTTTTTTTAATTAAAAATTTTTTTTGAGATAAGGTCTTGCTATGTAGTTCAGGCTAGCCTTGAACTCACTATGTAGCCCAGGATGTCCTTGAACTCATGGTGGCAATCTTCCTACCTCAGCCTCCTAAGAGCTGGGATTACAGATGTGTGCCACCACACTGGCTTCTTTATTTCATTTTTCTGTCCCTTTCCCACAGTGGAAATGCTTTTTCCTTAGTATGTTTGTGATATATAATAAATACATTAATAGTAGGGAGTTGGTACATAAACATATTGCATCTTAATTCTAATTCACTTCTTTCCATCCCTAGAAACCCCCACTCCTCATCTGCAAACCTCCCTGCTTTCTGTAATCTACCTACTCTGCTTTAGATCTGGAAGGTCCCAAAGTCTCATGTGTTCAGAGGTAGGGCTTTTGCAGGGAGACTGAATCATAGGCTCACTGCTCTAAGGCTTGTTTTTGTTGCTCTCCTCTCACCAGAAAGATTCAATTTTCCACAGGGAAGATAGGGGAGATGTGTGTGGATGGAATTTCTCCAGCAGCTGCTGTTCCCTCAGTCATCCAGTGTGTGACCTCATGATTCTCCCATCTGTTCTGTGGGTACTTGGTGCAGGTCACCAGTTCTTAAAAATCCTCAGCAAACATCTTTCCAATGGTTTCACATTTCATTTTACCTCCATTCTTCCTATACTCTCCTTCTGGAAATCTAATTTGACATATTGTCTTAGTTCATTTGGGCTGCTATGATAAAATTCCCTAATCTGTGTCGTTTATAGTTAATGGAAACTTATTTCCAGGAGCTTTAGAGGTTAGAAATCAGAGAACGTGCGAGTAGCCTCACCTGTCTGGTAAGGGCCTTTAGCTCACAGGTGGTGCCTTCTCCTTGTGTCCTCCTATAGTAGAAGGGGTGAGGAACTCTCCAAGAACCTCTTAAAAGAACTGATTCAATCCCCAAGGGCCCTTCCTTTCAAAGGCCCCACCTCCAAACACCATAACATTGGGATTAGGTCTCAACACAGGAATTTTATGGGGACACAAACATTCAATCTGGAGCTTGTGTTTGATATTCTCATCCTAGCTTCCTAATTTCTAAATCTCACATTCACTTTCCTTGGCTCATTTCCTCTTTGTGCTATATCCTGGGTAATCTTTTGTTATGCCTTTAACTCCCACATTCACTCAACTGTGTCTCATCTGTGTAACTTTTCCTTTGGGTTTTATTTGAACAATTACATTTTAAAAACAACATTCTACTTGGTTTTTATTCTTTTACAGTTTTTTTTTAAATTGTGAAGCAATAAAAACATCTAGGAAAGTTTAACATTGAGTAAACTTTTGAAGCCATCAGAGCATTTCTTGCCAACGGAATGGCTATCCCCTGAGCAGTTTGGTTTTTATTTCTTGCAAAACCTTTCTTCTTACTTGCCACTTATAATAATCAAAATCAGGAAATGAGCTTTGTCACATTTCTTCCGTCCAATTTTCAGACTCTATCCAATTTCACAAATCACCTCACTACCCTTCCATACTTTTCAAAGACCTAGTTCAGAGCCCTTCTGCACTTGCTTGTCACCACTCTTCCTTCTTCGGTGTGGAACTTGGCCTCAGTCTTCCCTTGACATTCACTACTTTGACACTTTTGAAGATTCCAAGCCTATTACATGTAGAATATCCCTCCATTTGAGTTTGTCCTGGTTTCTCCAGGATTAGTCAGGTAGTTTTCTCTATAGGAGTATCACAGAAGTGATGCTGTTCTCTTTGTATTCCAGTTGGCTGGGTGGCAGGTAATTTTGATTCATCCCATTACTGAAAACACTTAACTCTGATCAGTTAAGGTGGACTTTCCTGGGTTTTTCTAGAGGAAATTATTCTTTTCCACTATGTAATGAGTAATTTTTCCCCCACGAGGAGGAACTCACTGCTTCAATTTGTTTGCCTAAAAATTTCAATGTTATTTCTATTTGTGTAGACACATCGTTTCCTGTTCCACTCAGTGTGCTTTAGCCTATTCTTACCCTTACTTGATGCTCAACTAATCTCTGAACTAGTCAGTGGAAGCCCAATAAATCTCACTTCTGTGTCCTTTCACATAAATCACTACTTGAATGCCTCCTTTATTTTTAAAAGGAACAAGATGTTCCAGGCTTATCTTGTACTTTCCATCTCCTCACCCTGAAACCAGTTATCTTTCCAGGGTCTTGTCTGAGAAAAGTTATTTAGAAGCCAAGGTTTAGGAACAAGGTATGCTCAGTGTTCCTGGGCTGTTGCTCTCCAGGCTCTCATCTAGTAGGCAGATGTAGGAAACACATACACAAACATTTACACACTTCACCAATGTCCAGGCAGGCAAGGTTCTCTAAAGGCAATTCAGGTGTGAGTGAAGACAAGGGAGCCTCCCTGGTTTAGAAGCTTCTGACTCATGGAAATCAGGATTTTTCCGGACCATTTCCAAGTCCCTCTTTTAGATTCCCACACTCAGTTAGGAATAACCTGCTAAGGCGAGTCCAAAGTCCTGCCAGGTGTCTGCGGGTTACAGTCCACTCCAGCAGAAGTACTGTACCAGTCAAAGCTCACGTATGACACAGCAATGCTGTTTACACCACAGATAACATTCCACCATCATAAGTTTTACAGCAAGTTAGAAAGTTAATCTGAAGTGAAATTTGTCTGGAGATAAGGAAAACAGGGTCGTTAAACTTTCACTTGGAGTAACTAATACAGATCTTCAAACACTGGGTTGTCTTGCTTAAGTTTTTCCAATGGGTGCTCTTAAGCAAAGTTTAGACTCTTGTTTTACTGAAATTCAGTGATGGATGATTAATAACTCAGATGCCTTTCTTCAGTTATAACATGGCTATAAACTATCTATGAAAGGCCACGAAGAGCTCAAGTCATTTAAGTGTGACTGTGTTAATGTGCTCTCTGAGGCAGACTCGATTATTCAACGAGGTTGCCTACAGAGCTTATTTTTATTGGGCAGTGGTTTCATGAAGTAAAATTAGAAGAAAGTTGTTTTTATAAATTTAATTTTTGCTTATTTTAACCAAACGTTTTACGATGAGAAACTTAAACCATACAACAGCTGAAAGAGCTGTACAGTAAACATTCAGCTACCAGCCTCCCCAAGAACGCCGATTAGTCTCTTCCATGTGCACACCTCTACCCACGCCCGGGTCGGCCGCCAGCATAGCGGGCAACGTCACCAAGCGCTGGACCTGCAGCTCCGGCCTCTCCGGGCACCCACCTGGACACTTCTGTCTCAGCATCCTTCGGTGCACAAACCTCACCGGGTCACTTCTGGCCTTAAAACCTCCCGAGGCTCCTAAGATTTCAGCGTCCCACCAGGAGGGACGCGAACCGGCTCGCTTTCCGTCCCGTGCAGCCCCCGGGACCACCCGCCCGCGAGCAGCCGCACTCTCACCGCGCCAGCTCGGAGGCCTTCCCCGCCAAACCGCCGCCTCTTTCTCGCGCCCACAGAATAACTGTTCCCGGCCTCCACAGGCCACCCGGTCAAACTGAGTCCGTTATCGCCCGCGGCGCATCCCCATTCCCCTCGGGCAGCAGGTAGGCCGCCGTAAAGCGCCGCTGTGCCCACTGCTGTAAAGCGCTTCACGACAGCGCCGCGTTCGGCCTAGTAGCCACGGACGCCTGCGCCCCAACTTTAAACCTTCGGAGTTTCGACGGTCCCGAGTCTGTAGTCGCAAGCCAGCTTTCTCTACACGAAACGCCGGGCTCTCGGATCCGCCAGAGCTGCCGCTGCCTCGCACCCCCACCCGCGCGCCTTTCCTCGCGCCGGCCCGCCCTTCTTCCCGGCGTGCACCGCGGCGCAGCCATGTTGCCGTAGTGTTGTTTTCTTCCTGCGGAGGCGACGGGCCGCTACGGACCGCGACGCGCCCACCTTAGCCTGGGCCTCTGTCCCCGGCGTGGGCCCGCGGCCGCCTTCTCGCCGCTGCGGCCTCCTCGGCCCCTCGGCCCGCCGGCCGGCGTGGGGGCGCGGCCGGCTCCGGGCCCAGCAGCACCATGGCGGCCGCCCTGGGCGCGGGCGGCGGAGCGGGCGCGGGAGGTACGTGGGGCCCCAGCCTTTGTGTGGGTCTGGGCCGCGCCCCCGAGCGTGGGCGCTCATCCGAGCTTGGGGCCCGGGGTCGGCCGGCCGGGCGGGAGTCTCGCAGTCGCGGAGGCCTCGGACGTGCAGCCAGTGACGGGACGGACGGGGCTCGCCCCGGGAAGGAGCGTTCGAGCCGATTCCCGAAGACCTCGCAGCCCGTGCCGTGTTCTCGGTGAAAACGTGTTCGAATTGCGTTTTAGCAGCTTGGCGAAGAGTGCGGGGCCGAAAGGCCAGGTGTGGGTTGGCTCCCCGGTGGTCTCGCCCGTGTCGGCAGCGTACAAGATAGCCACGGAGCGTCCATTGATCAGCTTTAGTCAAGATTGTCGATGGAGGGCTCTTTTTGTTTAACGTGGAAAGATAATTAAAAGTGACCTTTCGTTGGTCATTTTGAAAATTTCGACAGGGGAGATCCTTAGAAGGGAAAGTATGGGAACAAAAGCATTTGACGCGAGTTCTCGCCATTGAAACTTAGAACCACTCCTGGATGTCCTTCCGCGCGTTCTCTAGGAGTGATTCCAGGTGGGCACGTCGCAGGCATCCTTGCTCCGGAATTGTGACCAAAACGTTTGTATGACAGATTGGAAAAATAAGACTACAGGGATTAAACGCAGGGGTGTTCTTTTTGGTTTATGTTACTTTTTCTGTCAGTTTAAATAGAAGATTTTTTGCGTACTAGATCTCAAGGCTTTCTAGTTAAATGTTTTAAATGTTATTTGCCTGCCTTGGTTATTTTCGGGGGGGTGTCAACATTAAGTGTTTTATAATTGTCATTGTCACTTGGAAGCTCCTTTAAATCAGTGTTGTGGCGTCCCCCCACCCCCCCGTGGGGAACCTAGAACCTCTGCATTGAGCTACATCCCCATCCTTATTTTGTTTTATTTTTTGGTACCGGGGATCGAACTCGTGACCTTGTGCTTGCAAGGCAGGCAGCAGAACCACTGAGCTAAATCCCCGGCCCTCTTTTTTTTTATTTTGAGAGAAGGTCTTACTCGATAAGTTACCCAGGCTGGGCTTGAACTTGTGATCCTCCTGCCTCAGCCTCCTGGAGTACCAAGATTACAGGTATGCGCCACCACAACAGTATTCAGAGCTATTTTTATGAAGCCTATGATGTTATTTGTATCTTTCACTCTACATTCACTGTGTATGTGGAGTTTTTCTGAGATTATATTACATATGAAGACCTTCAGTTTCTCATTTTTAAATTTCCTTTGTAGTAAATATTAGAACAAATATAATCCACAAAACAAGGGCTTTAGGGGTACTCAGTAATTTCAGGCCAGAAAATTGGAGGATTGCTAAACATTTTAGAGGATTAAGTAGGCTTTTTGACTGGAGTTTTCCTTTCCAGGTGTCACAGGTGCCAGTTTTCCCATTGCTCCTAGACTCAAACCAACTCCTCGCCAAGGTGTATAAATCGTTACTTACCAACTTTCCCTCTCCCTGAAGTCCACTGCAAGAGCAGCTGCTCCAACTCTTGAGGGGTCACCTTGATCCCAGGGCCCTCAGGAGAAGTCATTCATTGTGTCCAGTTTGTGTTATCTCCTGCCTGTGTGCCTTTCTCCTCTTTCAGTAACACCCTTGTTTTGTTTTTATTTCAGAGTGTTTATCTCAATTTCTAACCAGTTTTTTAATTTTTGTTTTTAAGTCTGCCCAGTAAGTCCCCATGAGGACAGTAATATTTTACCATGTATTCCATATTCCTGGCAGATAGTATGTGTTCAATTAATATACAACAAATGAATTAAGAATAAAATGTTTTCTTCATGAATCTGAGAAAAGACTTGTTTTCTAAGTTTTGTCAGTTGAATATTATTTACCTGTGTAGCTGATTGAATCATGTTAAATTAGAATAATTTACATTGTTTGGTAATATTTTTTTTGTATCAACAGATTGCCTGACATCCCAGTTTAGTGTATTACTTATCAGAGTGGCTTTCAAGCTTTAAAGAAAAAAAAAAACTGTACCTCCCAGTAATATGACTGACATTGAGGCTTATTACATATGTAAAAGAAAAAATTCCATGGACAGTACTAATGCATACTATGTGCCTTGGACTGTTTTCTGTATCATTACATTAAAATGCTGATTGTGACCTACATTAATTTCACAGCCCACTAAATGTTAAGGACTGTCAGTTTGAAAATCACTGATCTTCTGTGCAGTGAGTAGTTAATATTTACTGATAAGTGGATCCTAATTTATTGAGGATGTAGCCAGAAACTAATGGAATCTGTGGGTAGCCAAAATAGATGTCACAAAGTGCAGGTACATAGGAGTGTTTTTTTAGTCTCTTGCTGGAAAGCTGCTTATTCTTCCATACAGTTCAAGTAAGTTATTTGTTTTTGCAACCAGACAATATGGGTAAGGTAATGGAACTGCTGGTCTTACTAAAACAATAGCAACTCATATACATTGCTGACTGAGAACAAGGGCATATATGCAAAAACATGGCATTTGGGGAACATTACGAACAAACAGTAAGTTTCAAGGTCTTCTAGTACTTCCTTATATTGTGAAACAAAAACAAAAAAAAAAATCACAAATCTGAGTTCATTTTTTGGTACCAGGGATCGTACTCAGGACCTTGCGCTTTCGAGGCAGGCGGCAGAACCACTGAGCTAAATCCCTGGCTCTGAGTTCATTATTGCACCTAAAATTTACAGCAGCTTTTTTTGGGCCTTTTAGGAAAACAGAGTTGGATGTTTACAGATTTTTGTTTCCTTGACAAATTTTATGAAGAAAATCTTCTATTGGAATTTTTTAGACATACTCAATAGTAGAAAGAATAATGAACCCATATATCACCCAACTCCAACATTTATCAGCATTTTGGCACTCTCTAGGTGGTTGATTTACTAGGAGTTTATGTCTTACAAACCCATTTTGTAAGTTGAAGGTGTTGTAAGTTGGAAATGCATTTGATGCATTTACCTAGGATACAAAACAATACAGCTTAGCCTAGCCAAAAATGTGCTTAGAAGATTTACCTTAGTCTGTAGTTGGTCAGAGGGTTGGGGTGGGGGAGAGTAGGGGATGGATATTGAGCCGAATATTGCTAGCCTGGGAACAAACCAGAATTTGTTTAAGGTTTCTACTGAAATGAATACTTCTTTGGCACAGTCACAAAGGTACCATCTGTGTCCATCTTCCCATCCTACACCTTCACTTTTGTATATTTTTTTAAAATCCGAGGCTTATGAAATTTTAGAGCAAGAATAAACTGCAGGGATCAATTAGAGTCTAGGTACTAAACCAGTTTTCTTAGTAGTTGAAGGAAGTTAGGCCAGAGTTTAGTGATGTTAAAATGGGTGGTAGACTAAGAATTTAGGGCTTTAGACTTAAAGTTTAGTGTTTTTCCACAGTGTTAGATTTAATTTGTTAGTAATGTGGTAAGCAAGGAAAGTATGCAGCACAGTGTAAAGGATTTTTCTTTGACGTTAAAATTAAGCAAATAATTAGCACTTCAGATAAAATTTACTGGGTAGGAAGTTTGGAATACTTAAATCACTACTAATGCTGATAAATGAGATTTTTGTACTGATAGTTATGTTTGTGTATGGCAACTTGATTCTTAACTTTTTTTCCTTCAAGAAAATCTTTCACATTTAATTTCTTAGCTTTATTCAAGAGAATTTGCAGAGTGGAAGAAAGAATAGCCTTGCTTGCATTTCAGCCAGGACTTGATTTGATTTAGCATTTCTTGTAGGGCAGGTCTGCTAGTAACACCTTCCTCATGCCTTGCTTTTTTTAGGAATAGAATTCTTGAAGCACAGTCAAATACAGAATTCTTGGTTGACAGATTATTTCTTTCAGTGCTTTAAATATTTTGTCCTGCTACCTTCTGGCCTTCATGTTTTCTGGTGAAACGCTGACTGGTAATCTTGTGGGGGATCTGTTGTATGTGGCAAATCACTTCCCTCTTGGTGTTTTCATGATTCTCCTTGGCTTTGGTTTTTGACAGTGTGATTATAAAGTATGTTAATGTGGATCTCTGCTGAGTTTATTCTTCTGGGAGTTTGTTGGCCTTCTTGGGTGTATGGATTCGTATCTTTCATCAGTTTTGGAAGGTTGTGGCCATTAGTTCTTCACATCTTTATTGTATCATTTTATCTTCTGTGGCACTTGTGTATGCGTATGTTGGGACTCTTCACCCTATTCTCCCCATCCCCCCTCGTACCAGGGCCTTGCGGTTTCGAGGCAGGGCTTTGCCACTGAATTAACTCCCAAGCTATGTTGGGACTCTTGATAACCTGATTCCTCAGGGAACCAACAGCCAGGTCATGATGTGGAGTCTTAAAAAATTTTTTATTCTGAGGCAGGGTCTTGCTGTGTCACTAATTTGTCTAGGCTGGTCTTGAATTGCAGTCTTCCTGCTCAGACTCCTAGAGTGCTGGGATTACAGGTATTCACCACCATACCTGGCTCTAAGAATCTTTTTAAGTTTTTTTAGTCTAAATGGAAAAATAGCTTCAATGTTGTAATTTCTATTTTCCTGATTTCTAGTGAAATTAAACATCTCTTTATACATTATTATTATTTTTCCTGTTAATTGCCTATACATTGTCAAAAAAACTGAACAGTGTCTTTCTTCTTTTGGGTTTTTTTGTTTTTCTTTTTGAGGCAGGGTCTCCCATTGTAGTTCAGGCTGGCCCTGAACTCACAGGGATCTACCTACCTCAGACTTCTAAGTGCTGGGAATACAAGCAAGTACCACCACGCCTGACTTTTTTTGTGTTTTTTTTTTTGAGACAGTGTCTTGCTGTGGAGTCTAGGCTGTACTTGGAACTCACTATGTAGCCTAGGCTGGCCTCAAACTTGTGCCAATCCTCCTGCATCAGCCTCCTGAGGTCTCTCTCATTTTTAAGAAGTCTTTGTATATTATGTTAGAGTTATTAGCCCTTTTTTCTTCTGCTTCCCCTGGGACTTTGTTTAAACTTTTAATGGATGGAAGTTTTAAGATTTTGCTTTATGAAATGTATCAAGATGTTTTTAACAGGTTTTTGTTTTGTTTTTTTGGTACCTGGGATTGAACTCAGGACCTTGTGCTTGTGGGGCAGGTAGTGGAACCACAGAGCTAAAGCCCCGGCCCTTTTAACGGTTTTTTTAAAGTATAGGTTTCTTCATGTCACAATTCCTTTATGTTTTTAATATTTTATCGTTTTATTTTTTGTTTAGGTAGCTTTCTTTTGTGGCACTGGGGATTGAACACTGGGCCTTCACACTGAGCCTCAGGCCCCCCCACCCCCTTTTTCCTTTTTTATAATTTTTGAGACAGGGTCTCACTAAGTTGCTGTTACCCAGACTAGGTTTAAATTTGTGCTCCTTCTGCCTTGACCTCCCAGAGTGCCGGGATTGCCAGTGTGCTCTGCCATATTCTGCTTTTAAGTTTAGTTTTTAATCCGTACAGATTTTTTTTCTGGTGTGAATTTGGGTCTTCTGTAGTTCTGATATGATTTATTGATTTGCTATCTCTTGTACCTTTATAATAAATAGATTCCCATTTGTAATTTTTAAA